TGTAATGCAATCATTAGCCAAATATACTATCAATAAAATCCTGGGTCACAAGTACTCACCTTAATATTAAAAAAAAAAATAATAAACTGATATTATATGAAAATTAATATAATTAATATATTGATATATCTGAGTATATAAAGTTTCTAGATAGGCCTTTATGTTATTTTAAATACTGGTATATACCATTTTTGATTAGCAAAAAGGCCCATTCAGACTACTTGTTAAAGTTAGAAATAATTATAAAACTGCTTGCTTAAAATATAGTCCATATAACAAACTTCAAAAATTTTATTAAGAAATTAATTCCAATAAATTTTTACAGTTTCTATTATTTTTAATAAAATTATTATCTTAAACTATAAAATCTTATCAATAATGTAGAAATGTAAACAACCAATATTTGAAATTATGCTATCCTAATACCTTTGTATGCATCATAATCATATTATAAAATTTTGATCTCTTGTATCTGAAGTCTTTTTTTTTATTATTAAATACTGCACAAAAAAGTTTTAGCAATTTAAAATTGCATTTATTTATAGAAACCCCAAAAGGTTATACAGTATGCAAATCAGAGGTTAGATATATATATATGCACTAAACTTATATAATTATATAAATTCTTATATATAAACCTACCTAGTTATCAGACTTACTCCTATACAAGAGACCTATAGGTCTATTAATAGATTTTAAATTTGGTAAAATGAATTAGATCTGGGTCATTTATATGGCAGTTTACAGTAATTAGTACTAGTCAAAAATATGAAAATTGTGGGCAAGAATAGCAATATTAGATAAAATTTGTCTTTTTCATACAATAATGCTTGTCAAATCATATTAAAAAATAATTAAACAGAATTTTTTATCTAAATTTTTTAGGTCTTGACTTGATCTGATGACTTATATTATTATTATTTGTTTTTGTTTTTTTTTAAATATTAATGATGAATTATTATTATTTGTTTAATTTTACATTATCAATAACAATATAATAAGTATATTTATAGTCATAAAAAACCTTTCTGATGAAAAGATCTTAAAAAAGAATGGTTTTTATTATCAAAAAAAACTATTAACAACCAATATACAATGAATGTTAACAAATGGATTTGTGCCTGTCTAAGTTATTTAATAAATTGATTCTTTTTATGTAAGCATTTAGTGCAAATACACTGTTTATAATTGATTTAAATTTTTTTCAAAATATTTATTAACAAGAAATCTATTCTTTTTTATTTGTATTAATTCAATAAACTATATCTAATTAGTAAGAATTTATATAAAAACAAGCTACATCTATCTTAACTGAAGATAAAAAATTATTTTTTATTAAAAAAAAATTTTCTTTAAAAAATAAATATTATTGTTTATTTAGGTATAATTAACAAAATTACTAATTCAGTTAATAATATAACTGATAAAGAATCTTATCAGCTTTTTGAAAAATATGAATCTATTTTACAAGATGCACTTTTTATTATGCAATAATAACATGTAACAAGTAATACTTAGTAGGCACAATCTATTTATAAAAGTTTTGATGGAATTTAAGTTATGATAAATGATTTTAAAAATTATAAAAAAAAAGTTACCAATTCAAGAACTTGAAAAAATCATAATTAGTATACAATGTTTTTAGAAAATTAAATATGAATTTATATGGTATAAAATAAATATTAAATATTATGCAATTTGCAAAAAATGATTTTAATAAATACTAACTTATATTTGGTTTTTTTTTAATCTTTTAATAGTTCTTTTATATTTAATATATTATAACTATATATATAGTAATAAGAAAATTATTTATAAATATTAAATTTTTTAATTTATTTAAATTATATACTGTTGTAGCTTCTATGTTTACAATTTAAGATAACAAAAATTGAAGTTTAAGTATATTAAATTCTTAAGCTAGTTGTATCAAAACATTGCAAATACTATAAAGTAAATAGGCTGGTATAATTATTTTTAATGTAATTTTTTGTTAAAAATATATAAAATTATTATTTTTTTTTATTTACTAAATAATTATTATATAATGCATATTAATTTAAATTTCATTTGAATTTTTCACTTTAATAAAAAAAAGTATGCCTGTTATAGTTATAGAATTTTAAGAAAATTTAATCATAAATCTCTTGCATAAATGCATTACAAGGTATAAAATAGTTACATAATCTAAACTATGCTAATACACTACAAAAACGATGTATATTTTAGTTTATATATGCACAACTATTATACCACATATATATGAAAAGTTTGTTTAGTTAAAAATTATATATTGATATTGATGTTTTTGTAATAGCAATTTTTTTGTACATCAATACATATTTTATATCAAAATTTTAAGAATTTTAAATAAAAGTATCATGACAACTGCCTAATAAAACTTGAAGAAAATTTTTTAAATTTAATTCTACACATTTATAGAATCAAAATAAAATAAATTTTCAGTAAATTTCATTAGATGATTGTTGAGATATCTTCAACCAAAGTTAGATTAATATTCAAAATATCAATCTAAATAATTTTAAATTTTTTCAAATCTTTAAACGATGATATCTCAACAACCACCTGATGAAATTCACTGAAAATTTTTTTATTTTGATTCTATAAATATGTAGAATTAAATTTAAAAAAAATTTCTTCAAGTTTTATCATGCAGTTGTCATAATACTTAGTTTAAAATTTTTAAAATTTTGATATACCAAAATTGATGGGCGGCTAAGTACTTAATTGTTATTGGCTGATTATCACATGATTTGCAGAAAATTCGGGGTGTCGTTGGAGTAGTTGGCAACTTACTCGCATCACGTTATTGAGTCTAACAATTCGTAAAAGAATCCTTATTTCGATGTATTATATGATAATTGAATCCGCTTTATTCACTTGAATCGAATTACATGAAATCTATAATGAAACTTATATCTATTTCTAGGGTTCCGATATCTTGTATATCCATTATCGCGCTTATAATGATTATACTGCTTATATCGCAAATATAAGCACGGTTAACCCAATTTAGAAAAGATTTTCATAGCCGGGGTGTGACTTGTGGTCGTACGGCGAAGGTCACACGACTAAATCGGTCACGTTTTCCGAGTCTAACACTATAAATGTTTCAGTTCGCGAAAATCTTAAATGAGGAAAAGTATAATATGGTATAAGCTTATAATTTATTTATTATTATAAATTTGTATTGTACTTAATTGTAGAAAATTTTCTTCATTTTCACTGTCTAAACATAAAAGTAATCTGAGCCTTATTGAAAATATATTAGTAGAAAAGCCATAATGATAATATTAGGTATCGTGCAAACCTCATAAGTCAAATTCCAACCTAAATTCTATAAATATTAAATATTATATATGTAGTATAAAATAGTACTTATTTATATAAATGTTACAGGGTTGTGAACTTACATAGTCTAATGGAAAAAAAGTCATTAGACAAATATATGTCTATTCATAATTTTATATGTCTGATGGCTGACTAATACTATATATTCACAATCCAGCCCCAAATTAAAGATTAAATTGTACGTATAAAATCATAAAATTTAGTCTATTGTTATTAAAAAGAATGCAATAGCTTTGATATAAAAAAAGTTGTATTGATATGAACTATGTTTCACGATATTATTGACATTTTATTTTTTATCAAAAATTAAAAGCCAACATAATTTAGCAAAGCCACAACAGGTTTTTATGATATGTATGTATAAGCCCGACTGCATTAAACATAATAATTCTATAGAAATGTCGCTTGTATACTTTTAGACTAGAAGATCATTTAAGAAAATCATTTAGGAATAATAAAATAATCTGAAACAATTTTACAAGATTTTGATTAGAAAATTTATATTTCACACATTACCCCCTCATTTTGTTCATATTTATTCTGCTCATCACATGCTGATCACATCCAGTTTGACCAATGAGTGTAATTAAGTGAAACGTAAAATTAAAAAAATCTTTTACCATATTTTTGATAACCTTATTTGTTTATTGTCTAGTTGGATAAATTTTAAGAGCAAGTATAACCCAAAAATAAAACCTATACACAAGTCAAAATATTATGATTGACATTGGTTTTTAGGACGATCATGTATTCGGGATAATTGAAACCGGGAAATGACGGGAATGCCAGATGTGCAAATAGAAAGGACGTGCACTTATAGAGAATACGAACAAATTAAGTACGTAGAGAATGAAATCGGTGAATCAATTACCGAACAAATTTTTTAATCGAACATTTTAAACTGATTAATATAACAGATAAGAAGTTAAAAAGCAAACGGAAAGTACAATCTGATTTTTGATTTTTAATTCTAAATTCCTCGATTCTAATCTCTATATACAAGAAACCAAATACATTGTCTTTTTATGAATTAAAAAAAATTAATCATAATTATGCGAAAAAAATGTAAGTCTAATAAAACGAAAAAATAAATTATAGTTGATAACATTTCATTATCATTCATTAGCTAAGTTCTAATATATCACATGACTACCCACTCGATTATTAAAAAAAAACACTATTAAATAATATTGCACCAATAATAATTAACCAAATAAAATAATTCAAATTCGTTGATTTTATAGCTGATGAATTTTTAACAGCTGACGTTGATGTGCCTGATGGTGATGAACTTGGTGGTGCTGATGGAATGCTTTTTATAGATGCATATGGTTGACTTACACTTACAGGAGTTACAGAGGTAGAAGGTTTCACCGGAATAGTGGTATTAGCGTTAGTGATATTACCTTGATAAAAGTTATTATCACCCAAACAAGTACCAACTTGTTTAATACTATAACCTCCATTTATGACAATAGGAATTACACTTGGAACTTGTAAAGCAGCACCTTGATATAAATCATGTTCCAATGAAATGTGACCAGCTTTAGGTTCTTTGACCCATTGACTAAAGTTTGCCTCAACCCAAGGTAATTCGAATGTTTTATCCTCATCAGACATCCAATCATTTGTATCTCTATCCCAAATTACGACCTTATATCCAAGTTGTTTACATATATCACGTACCCTATCGTCATAATTACCAAATGGTGGACGCATGTACTTTGGTCTAACACCGAGCACAGCTTTTATAACTTTAGCAGTCCATTCTAACTCGGCAACTATTTGTTCACTAGTTTGAGTAGTGAGAGATGGATGAGACCATGTATGTACACCAATTTGGTGACCTTTGATTAATGTTAAATGTGTTAAATGATTAACTATTTACATTATTATGAAAACATTATGAAAGAAAGTTAAGAAAAAAGATGGATGGATAAATTTACCAGCATTAAATGCTCTTAGTAAAATGTCAGGACGTTCATATACCCGAGAACCAACAACAAAGAAGGTAACTTTAATATTTTTAGCGTCCAAAAAATTAAGAATGTCTGTCGTAAATTCACTTGATATGATTAAAAAGAGGGTTAAGATTAGTTCGAATGTTGTTGAAGTTAAACCAAATTAAACGTGTGATTAAATAAATTTTTTATATGTAATTACCTTGGACCATCATCTAAAGTGAGTCCCCAATCTAAAATATTTTAAAAAATAAATTATATTATTATCTAGAAACAATATCAAATTTTACGCACTCCGCATAAAAAATTGCTCACCGCCTACATTCGGACATGTAATAATATCAGTTTCATTACGAACACAATTAGTACAGGACCAATAACAAAATTGGTCATCGGTTTGACACTTGTCATTTAATGTCCGAACGGGTGCATCTGCAACTTTTGTAAAATCCACAAGTGACGAGAATTCTGGTGTTATTGGTGGTGGTTTATCGATTGCTGGCCAGTCCCCTGGAACCACACCCGCTGATAGTTGAATTAATAAGCAGATATATAAAAATCTGAATAAAAATTTAATGTTGATAATGGATTTCATTCTATTTTCTAAACGATCTTATGCAAAAATCTTTGGTTCTTTTTTTTTTTTTTTTGTATCAAGAAAAATAATTAATTATATAAAAAAATTCTTTTGATTGAAATAAAAATGAATTGGAGAAACAGAATTTATCCATTCTTTATATATAAAGATTTTATAATATTATACATATTTGAATTCAAGGTTAAAAAGATTAATTGAACTAACGAGAATCTGGTAGTTTTTTGCTAAAATGGTTTAACTTAATTGAAATTTTCCTATCATAATTTTCCCTATCTTTATTTTCTGAAACATACGTACCTACGAGGTTCCTGATCTTCATTTTCACATATCCGAATATATAAATCAATGTATACAAATAATACGTTATAATGCGTTTAAAATTAAAGATTTTGAAAGCATTACTAAAAACGTCATTAAACATGTTAATAAGCATGCCATCGACACATCATTAAATATGCTATTACTATTAAAGCATGTGATTTTTGTCATATTACTCTACAGGAAAAAAGAACCGTTATAACATTAAAATAAAGCATTATAATAATTAAAAAAAAGTTTTTAACCTTTATTTATTATTTATAGTTGCATTACATATTCATTATTCATTATTAAATTGTAATAAAAAGAGGGGGAATTTTTTTTTACAAGTTTTCAATTGAATGCATTGAGTGTCTCCAGTTCATTCCAGACCACTAAAGCCATCGAATTTCATTTGACAAACTAAATTAATTTACAGACCCTAATAAATTTTTACCAAGCAATTTATGGTATTAACTAATTTTATAGATGTTACCTTTGAGCAACATTTTCTGTAGAATTTGTTGATAGAAAGGAAATGACCAACAGCAATTTAATCAACAGAAGGATGATCTCCTATTTTTAAAAATAATAAATTTTAAGCTAGTCGGTTTTTTTTTTCCTTTAGTAAATCTTCTAAATATAAACCTTTCTTTACCAAATTTGACATTACCGTCAAAATATTATCTATCCTAAACAAAGGGATATGTTAGAGGAGTAATTGACTATAAATAGAAGTCTACGTTCTATGGTATTGAGAATTTTTTGTACAAGACTTTTTATAATTTTAATAAAAGATAATAGGTAGTATTGGTGATATCTTTTATTAAATATAGATCAAATGCATTGATGACAATAATTATAATTTAACTAATGGAATGTAATCTCAAAGTACAATACTTACGTACCTATAACATGATCATTAACTTTAGAATGTAAATATCGCGAAATCACAAAAAGGATTAAATCAAATAAAAACTTTAAGTCTTAATTAATATTTTACTGTACACTGTACACGACTCAACTCCCTGAAAATCTGGTCAAATTATATTTCGCTGTACATGATCAAGCCCCTAATCATATTGCGATATCATTATACATAACTATACATAATACTTGATAACATATTATTTAACAACTTACTTAACAACATACTACTTAACAGGAGAGTCCGTCCCAAATAAGAGGGACTAACAAAGCAGGATAAATCAAAGTTACTTTTTTTTGACGTGTTTAGGTTTGCCTTTTTGATATAGCAATAGGGAATAGGTGGTGCAGTAGAGTAGTCCCAATGACGTTCAGCTTAAACAGTAACTAGTTTTGGTAATCATTGAGACTATTCTACTGCATAACTAATAATAATTTTTGCTATATCGATATGTGGATCAATATGTGGATCAATATATTTTTATCACCAATATAGTTCCTCGTGATTATCAACCAATCATATCATGAATGAATTTTAGCAAGCTAGTAAATCAAATTACAAAAAGAAGATTATGGATTATATGGATTAAATTGATTAACCAGATTTACGTACGTATTAGAAAATCGTTAACGTTAATTCGTAAAAAAAAGTACAATCTTGCTGTATTGTAAAATGTATTTAAATCAATCGTGTGTAACACATTTCTTAATTTGATTATTAATCGATTACTAAATTAAAAATCATGTGATACATATAAGTACCAGACGACCTCTTAATTTGGGACATGTCTCTATTATGATACGTATGAAATACGTATGTCATAAACATTAAATCATGATACATATTATTGAAATACATATATCATAATTTAATCAAATTCAAACTTATAATATTTATCCAAGTGTAATTACATAGGATTATCCGCGGTAATGCAAGTACATATACATAACATAAGATGTACCCTTATATCGATGTTAAAAAATAAAGCATGTAGAATTTAATATCTTTAAATATTAAGATGGTAATTACTAGGGATGGGCCACTGTGCAGGTGGAATATTTCGAAGGTTGGAATATGCCGGAAACCATCGAAATTTAGCAATTTTGGCCCGCATTAGTCATAATGCAGACTCGTGCAGGCTACGCAGTATTTTCAAAAAATCAATTTGTCCATCCCTGCTTTATATTACGTCACGAGCTCTTCAATATAGAGTCACAGTTTATAATGCACAATTAGGCCTTGATGATCAGGGTGATTATTGAGCGAAATTTCGAGAGTTGAACACTAATCTAGTTTTTTTTTCTTATCAATGTAAGACATTTGGTCTTTCAACTACATTTTTGCCATTATTTAAATTTTTGAGTATTCTATATGCTTGATATGCAATATCTTTTTTTTCAATCATATATGTCAGACATGTAAATCTGGCAGATTTATCGACACGAACAACCTCGGCGGCGATCTGTGAACATTTTTCACGCTTACAAAATACGTCTATACCAATATGTAGGTACATTCGTACGTACGATCTTAATTTTTGCGCATCCTAATTTGTATTGCTGTAGTACTGTCTTACATTATATCTAACAAAAGGATTTACAATCACAATGATATGAAATTTGATTATCATTCAAACGTGATTCTTGGCATTTAGTTTATACAATCTATTGGTAATTTTCTACAGTCACTTGTGGGTCACTAAATATTCTATCTGGTGAAACATACATCTGATACGACTAATACTGGCCATTTCTCCAATCGCTACGTAACTATGCGGCTTATAAAACCTATATTATCATGTGATCACATGCTATTGCCAAGATCTATTATTGTGAGCTAAATCGTAAACTAATGTAAAATATAGTGCGTACAACTTCGAATTACACATGAAATCAAAAAAAAAAAAAAAATTGAAATTTTTATAGTCAAGAAATGAAATTATTGCGGCGGGCTTATGATGAAGTTTAAGGTCTCTATTATAGCCGTTTTCAAAAAGGTGTGAACAGACGCAGATTACCATATTTTGAGAAATTCACAGATTTCCAGAATCTTCAAAGCCAGTGCTAATCGGGCATTCAATTTTTACTAATCAGAATTTCCTGATTCATCGATTTCAACATAGGTATATGGAAATCGTTGTTCACACCTTTTGGAAAACAGCTGTAAACCTATAATCCCCTGCCTTACTATTTGTTATTCTTTCTAATTTCCCGTGTGATCGGGAATCTTCCTATGAGAGATTCCCGATCATTTGAAAATTAGATGTTTAGGTGGTAATGAATAACGTAAGGCAGAATATTATTCATTTATTTCCTGTGAGAAGTTTAAAATTACAGAAGAGAGGATTCCACGATGATCATATGATGCTGACGCCTATGATCATCTGCTGTAACTTTTAAGCTCCCAGGAAATAAATAATACTAATACCTATCAAAATCCACATATACGTTTTTTATTAACAATACTACCCTAGCCCTAACCTGACTATGAAGAAAAATCCTTCAAAAATTTTACAATGTCATAATATGATACAGAAAATTTTCAGTATAAGCTGCCACAATTATTATAAAATGAAATAATTATAAATGTAACATAAATCCAATAAAATAGTAAAAAAATATTTTATATAGTTATTGCTATAATAAAAATCAGTTAAACTAGCAAAATATTATCTATAGTTTTATTCTAAATGTAAGATTTTGACAATCTATTTATTGCCAATACATTTGAACTTATTAATAAAGTAATTATTGTATAGTTTTTAATTATTTGTTAATTAAACATAATACATTCTTGAAATATAAATTTTAATATATATCTATAGTGTTAAATACGATAAAAATTAAATAAAACTAGGCAAACTTTTTATAGTGTAAATAAAGAAATAAAAAAAAGATGAAATTTATGAAGCCCTTGGATTTTTTCTTTTGTTCGAATCACCTTAGTCCAAACAAACTTAATAAATCTGTATTCATGGCATAAAATTTTCAAAAGTGACCCGGCAACCCGGCTTTTAATTTTATTTCCAAAAAAATTTAAATATAAAAAACATAAAATTTTTTATAGATTTTTTTTAAAAAAACTCATTTAATTTTTAAAATCAATTTCTGGAGGTATTAGAGATAACAATTCACAATTTTAATAAAATTATTAAAGAATTACAGATTATTAAATATCATTTAGGCAATAACACGAAAAAAAGATTTCAATCATTTGAAATAGATTATCTTACCTATGAAGAAACAAATCTTTATATGGCAGAATTTATAGTTAGAAAGAAGTAATGAGGAATTAAAGTTGTGTATAAACCTACCAACATCACAGATCACGGGACAGTTGTAAATCAAAAATCTTTAGAATAATACGATAATGGTTATAATGCCTATATTGCATATATTGATTATAATCATTATAATCAATATATGCGATATAAGCGATATAATCATTATAAGCGCGATAATGAATATTCGCACTCTAGAAATAGATAATTTTTCATCTAATTTGGCTTAAGTGAATAAAGCGGATTTCGTGCTGTAAATACATCGAATTCAGGATTCTTCTACGAGTGACTGTAGAGAATCATTGCTAAAATACAAACCTATCTGCAAAAAGTTACAAAATCCCAACCCGTTTTGTTCAGTAGTCCCGACGTAGTGTGAAATACTGCAATCCTTGTAATAATAAGGTATAGTTGGCGGTAGAATTACTGAATTACGGCATTACGGCATTCTACCATGTGGTAGAATTAATTCTACCACAGTAC